CCATCATCACACGGCCCTCCCCCCGTCTCTTCTCTTCTTATAAGGACACCAGGTACTGGATTTAGGACCCATCGTCTAGGATGATTTCACCTGGAGATCCTTAACTAATTACATTTAACAAATAAGGACACATTCATAGGTACAGGGCTTTCCTGATGGCCGAGAAAGGCCCTCTGAAAAAGTCGGGTTGCAGCGAGACTCCTAACCTTGGCTCTTACCATCCCCTGAAGCCACGTGAAGGAAGTCGCAGAGGACAGCGGTTAACTGCGGTGCTGGGGCTCAGTTCTAGCTCCAGGACTCTGCAGTCGGCTGGAAGAGACAAATGGAAGAGAGAGGTGCTGGACAACCAAGGGCCGGTGAACTGTGCTCACTGCCCCCAGCCCCACGGAGCAGAACCCAAGGGCCACCGAGAGGGAGCAGGGCTGGAGGGACCCTTCATGCACCCTCACTCTGCCCCCTAGTAAACATGACCCAGGAAATGTCTCACGCTCTAACTAAGCAGATTAGCAACCTCTCCCAGTCAGGGAGAGGCCCCGGGAAGGTGTGGCAACGGAGGCAGCAGACGGAGAGCCCACCCCCTCTCCTAGAGGAACAATAATGTGTTTACACGGCTGCCAGCCTTGTGCGTACTATTTCATGTGCCTTGTAAGAAAACATTATTCCATCTGCACTTCCCCATGTATCTAATCTAGTCTAGATACTTGTCACTTTTAATAGCTAATGAGATGACATCAACAAATTAAAAGGGAAAAAAACAGACAATCATCTTTATAGATGCCAGAAACACAGGGAGTGAAATCCTACACGCGTTCCTGATTTTAAAAAATTAAAAAAAATAATAAAAATAAAACAAACCTCAGGAAAGCTGGAATGGAATGATGTTTGCACAGTCTGATAAAAGGCACTGAACAGAAACCCCCCAAACATCATGGTTAATATTGAAACAGTAGAAGCGTTCCTACTGAATACAACAGAGATGTCCGCCTGGATCAATCCTGGGTCGCATAAAAAGTATTAATAGTGGAAAGGAAAGCGCCATCACGAGTTGCAGACAAGTTGCCGTCTATTAACAGTTCAAGAGAAGCAACTAAAAAACCCCATAAGGATCAAAAAGAGAATTCAGTAAGTTTGCCAGACCCACCCACTTAATAAATATTTAATGAATACTTACCGTCTGCCAGGCACTTTTCTAAGAATTTGGGACATAGCCGTGAAATACTAAAATGTCTCCCCTCAGAGAGTTTACACATGACACTGCAGAGACCTAACATAAATCAATGACGATCAATAGCCAATGAAGAACACAGTGTGGGGGCTGGGGGAAGGATCCAGTTCACAATCAAAAAGAAACCTCAAATCTCTAGAAATAAATCTATTGGGAGGTGCACTAGTCCTATGAAAAGAGCACTACATATATATATGTATACATATATATATATATATTTGTTTGTTTAGTTATTTATTTTTTGAGAGAGAGCAGGGGAGGAGCAGAGAGAGCTAGAGAGAGAGAAAATCCCAAGCAGCCTCTGCACTGTCAGCGCAGAGCCAACGTGGGGCTGGAAGTCATGAACCGAGAGATCATGACCTGAGCCAAAATCAGGAACTGGACGCTTAACTGACTGAGCCACCCAGGCGTCCCTGAAAAGAGCACTTTAAATGTCACTGTGCTAATGACATTAAAGAAATATCATTGTAAATCGTTATGCTTCCCTGCTTCACAGAGGCACCCGGGGCTGTGGGAAGTCGAGCCATCTGCTTGAGTCACAGGGGCAGAGCTGGTGGTCAGGACCTTGTCTAGCTGATGTCGGGGCTAAGAGTGAGGCCACTGGGCCACACTGCCTGGCCCATGCCCTCAGTCTCCCCGCCTGCAGAATGGCAGTGCCCACACCTCTCCCCCAGCCTGGTTATGAATGAAATACCGCATTGAAAGCACTTAACTCAGGGCATTAAGCAGGTGCTCGTTAAATGCTAGCTCCTTCATTCTAACCAGGAGAGGAATTGAGCTCCTAAGTCTTTATCAACACACTCGATGGCATAATAATAGGGGGAGAGAAGTATTTCCATCATGATCAATCAACACAGGCAGAACTAACTTGGGAGGCACGTGGGAGAGAGGTGGGTTTTTAAACAGATAGAATTTCTATTATACTGACTTGCTTAATGATTCACTGAGCTGTTTGATTTGAGCGACAGTGAATATGAGGGATGAAAATGCCGATCAGTCGGAGCAGCTATGATTTGTGACTATATCACTGTGCCTTTTGAAGACAGAAGTCTCTTTGCCTCTGGAGTGAAGTGATTCATGGAAAGCGAGCAGGGGAAAGTCTGCAAATACAGAGCAGGAGGTGCAGGTACCCTCATGGATGCCCAGGGGAGCCCCCCCCCCCCCCAGTCCCCACATATTCCTGGAAGCTGACTGTGGTCTCATTTCACCCTCACCGTACATTACAGAAAATTAGGAAAACTCCTAAGAGAAGGAAAAAGTTCCCAGTCCTGGCACCAGTGTGAGATCTGCTACCATTTTAGTCTATTTCTTTCTGGCTTTTTCCTCCCCATCCGCATGTGTTTCTTTCCTTGTTTGCGTCATTGTAATCCTCCAGTTTTGTATCTGGTCTGAGTGTGAGTAGGGAAAGCGCAGACTTAGAAACCGGCGTTTAAATCCCTTCACTTGCCAGTGGAGGGACTTTGCGGTAGCTTCCTGTCATCTGTGAGCTTCTGTTTTCTCGCCAATTGAATGGGAGAATGGTAAGACCCGTCCTGGAGGTCTTGGTCAGGGTTGATTAGATAAAGAAGGCAAATTGCCCGCATACAGTGGGCACTCCGTAAATGGTCCCTTCCATGCCCCCTGGGGATCTGGAAGGCCTCTGGTTGCAAAGGAAGAGCTGGTCCACCAGAATCTAGGAAGGGCCAGACACGAGGACCCTCCAGAGATCCTCACAATCCCTCACCTAGAATCAGGGAACTCTACGTAGGGGCCTGAACCAGATGTAGTTTAATCTCCTCTTCCGTCTCCAAAGACCTCCTACCAACATTCAAATTCCAGCATGATCTAATCTGATTGGACAGCTCAACGTGGGATTCTGCCCTTGGTTCACTCAGCTATGACTGCACAGAGATCAAAGCCAGGTTAGTCTTTGGGAATGGGTAGCCAGCTGCCTTAATTTTGATATTTGCCCTCGGATATTTTCATTTTACGTTGTATCCTAGGTACTTTTTCAAGTAACCGCTGTTTCCTCATTACCACGTTTTTTAATGTTCCAGAAGAGTCGGTTAAGGTAATGGGGACTGCTATTAAGTGATACTTCCCCACTATCAAAGAGCTAAATTATTTCTTGAGAGATGCACTATAGCTAAAGATAGTAATAAGTATGTATTTATCTCTTGGGGAAATTCCTAGAAATTGTGCAGCCTTCAAAATAGTTGAGGCCTAAACCTTCTGGTATCCAATCCTGATGTGTGGGAGTTGCCCCACACATCCAACCGTTTCTCCAGCACCACCTGGGTGTTGTGCGATTCAGCTCGATTCCAACCCTAGCTACCTGGAGAGAGCGTCAGATTCCACAAGTGAAGGGCTCAGCCCCGCAAGGCTGTCCCCCCCCCCGCCCCCGCGCCACACACACACCTCAGACTCAGCCATCCAGTCCAAGTTGTCACCAGTGCTTCTGACTTACTGGCTGTAGGTGGGAGGTTCCCACAACACCCTCGTCTGTCGGGTTTGATGTGCGAGAGAGGTTGGCAAAACTCAGAAGGGTGTTCTATTTACTAGGTTACCAGTTTGTTGTAAAAGGTTTATTACATATAAAAGGAAGATCCAGATGGAAGACATTCAGAGGAGAAGTCATGGGGAAGGGGGTGGAGCTTCTAGGCCCTCTTCAAACGTGCCACCTACCCCCCTGGCATCTCCACGTGTTCGCCAACCCAGAAGCTCCCTGGACCCCATCCTTTGGGGTTTTTTAAGAGACTTCATCACATACACATCGCGGGGGAGGAAAAACAATTTTTCCTCAACCCTTTTAAGTTCGTGGATGAGACTCCCCGCCCTCCCCGTAAGAAAAGACAGATTAATAGGAGAAAAACAAACGGAAGCATAATCACATGTAAACCTCCCACAGGCATGGGAGAGACCCAGGAAAGCTGAGTCACTCCCAGAAATGGCCCAAGCCACCACTTTAAATAACAGCTCCAGATAAAGCGAAAATAAAATGTTTGGGGAGAGAGGGGAAGCCAGTTATGGGAGGTTACCAGGAAAAGCACCGTAAACAAGGGTAAGGTTGTTATGCAGACTTGAATCCTGGCCTTCTCCACTAAATAAGAGTTCTCAGAGATTTAGAGTCACGCTTCCCTTCCAGTACAAAAAAAGGAAGTCACCCTCACAAATAGAGATTTGTCTTTTAAATGCAAATGTCTTTTATGGAAGCACAACTTCTTTTCAGTTTCCAAAGCTCTTCTCCTGCCTGCTATTTCTTTTTTTTTTTTTTTAAGCTTATTTATTTATTTTGAGAGAGAGAGAAAAAGAGAGAGAGAGAGAGAGAGAGAGAGGCAGATAGAAGAAGAGAGAGAATCCCAAGCAGGTTTTGTGCTGTCAGTGCACAGAACCCGATGCAGGACTTGAACTCCCGGACCCTGAGATCATGACCTAAGCAGAAACCAAGAGTCGGATGCTTAACCAACTGAGCCACCCAGGCAGCACCCAAAGATGCTCATTAACACAACAAAAGACAACTTTGTAGCTCTCAGCAATTAAGAGAACCCAAGAGCTTCAGGAGCTCTGTGGAGAAGGAAGGATGAAGACCAAATATATACTATAAATCACAATGTCACAAGCTCCCAGCCTCTGAAGGGACTGAGCATTCCTCAGGGTGTTTGATTCCCCCATCGTCTGACTGGACAGGTCCACCGCTAGTCTCTGAGCCTTCCCCCCACCTCCTCTGAATGGACTGGACCATCCCTAGTGTTCGATTGCCCCAGACTTTCGATTGCCCATCCCCCCTCCTTGCACCGGGAACGTACTAGTGATTTCATGACCTTTTCTGATTTCCTATCAGGTAGTCGACAGAACAGTGCGCAATGCATGACTGATAACTGAAAGTGACCTTGGCCTTGCCTCCAGGTGACATGAAAATGTTCTTTATTGGCTCAGACTGAGAAATCATTAATAATAATCAAAATGTTCGGTGGGTCAATGTTTGTAAGATTTCATTGTGTAAATTATACTGAGTCCCAAACTCAGAACACTCCAACCACTCCCCAGAATGTAAAGAGGAGCCTCGGGCAATCTTTATGGTCTACAAGAGACCAACGGAAATAGTGCAGTGTCTGAAACCAGGTTGTGCCCACCAGGGAGGGAGTCAGGGCTTTGCTTGAGGCTGAGATTTGATGGCAGGGCTATCTCCACCTACCAGAATATCCAATGGCAGAGTACAATGTTATTCTAAAACTGGGAATTAAATTCTTTCCTTTCCTTCTTTCTTACCCAAGCTGGATGATAGGGATGCTATTCTCAAACATCGAGCATTTCCACAAAGGAAGTCCCTCCTTTGGGGATGTTTTTGGTGATGGGAAATTTGGGCATTGCTGATTTAAATTGTTCTGCCATCCATTCATTCAAGAAACATTTGGTGAGCCCTTTCTAGGTGTCCAGATCGGTTCTAGTTTCTGGAGAAACAGCAGGAAATACGACATCGCTCACATCCTCATGAGTCAGTACGCCAGTTCTGACCAACTAACGTAATCCAGAAGAACGTGTATCCCATAAAGAGGTATCTGCAACTTCTCTAGTTTCACAAGTGGAACTGGGAAGAGACTGGTCCGAAAAGACACAGAATGGAGTTAACACAAGCATCGTTAGCTGCTCCCAGAGTGGCTGCGTGCAGCACTGTCTGGTCTACTCGCTATTCCAGGCGGGAAGGTTCCCCTGGTGGGGTGGTTGGGGTTCGTATCATTACTATTATTTACCATGTGTTAACTAATTTGTATTTATCAGGCTCTTTACAATACATCGTTTTATTTATACTACAGAGCATCCTCGTGAGTTGAGTATCATTATCATATCCAATATAGAGGGAAACTGTCTCACGTAACGGGAATCAAGTTGGTGGCTCATGGTCACGGAGCTGAGACGTAGCTGAACAGATTTAAACAGATGGATGTGACCACCATCTCGCCAGAGTCTCTATGACGGGCATCATCACCAGCAGCATCAGCAAAATCTCTAAGCTACAGTCAGACAGTTTATACTGGCATAAAGATAGATACGTAGATCGTCATCTTCGCCATCAAAATGGAGAATGGCTCCTCAGGGACCAGTAAGGAAATGACAAACAACCCAACAGGAAAATAAATAAACACACAAACACATAAATGAATGAATGAGTGAATGAATGAATGAATGCATAAATAAATAAATAAATAAGCAAAGGATTTGAAAATTCTTTCCCAGAGCAGTAAACACACATGAATCATAAACACGTGAGACGCTGCTAAATCAGAGTAATAAAGGAAGTGCAAATTACCCACACCCCCTCTACACTGGCAAAAACTTAACAAAGAAAAAGTCTGGAAATACCAAAGTTTACAAGGAGAGGAACGAAGAAGGCTAATGGCAGTGTAAATTAATTAATGAAAATGATTGGTGGTTTCCTAGGTGTTTTGTTTTTTTTTTTTTTTTAATTTCAGAGAGCGAGCCCGTGATTGGGGAGAGTAGCAGAGTGAGGGAAAAATCTGACGCAGGCTACGCGTTCAGTGTGGAGCCCCATGTGGGACTTGATCCCACAACCCTGGGATCATGACTTGAACTGAAATCAAAAGTCGGGCGCATAACCGACTGAGCCATCCAGATGCCTCCAGGGTTTTCTAGTTACTTTCAAGAGTCATATACCTGATGACCATTTTTATTTCATTCCTAGGTATGTACTCTCAGTAAATTCTTTTTTTTTAATGTTTATTTATTTTTGATAGAGAGAGAGAGAGAGAGCAGAGGAGGGGCAGAAAGAAAGGGAGACACAGAATCTGAAGCAGCCTCCAGGCCCCGAGCTGTAAGCACAGAGCCCGAAGCGGGGCTTGAACCCACTGTGAGATCATGACCTGAGCCAAAATCGGACACTTAATCGACCGAGTCACCCGGGCACCCCTCAGCAAATTCTTACATGTGTATCAGTTCAAAATAGAATTTTGTGTAACAGCGAAAACTGTAAAAAAATAAAAGTCCTACAACAATGAAATAGATTCATAAATTATGGTTTGTACGCACACTGGAATAGTATACAGCTGTGAAAATGAATTATAGCTACTTGCATCAACACGGAAGAAGCACTAAAGCAGGTCATAGAATATAGGTACTGGAATTCCATTCATGTAATTTTAAAAATATAGAAGATATGTCTTTTCATCATCCCCCAAAAGAATTCTTATTTCCAGAGAGGGGAAAAAAAAAATGCCTTTCCCTCTCTGAACCAGGCACTCAGTTCCCCTGAAAGTATTTTAACCAGAATATGCTTTAGTCACCTGTCCTCATTCCCTTGATGCCCTGGGCAGATGAGACGGGACAGTGTGGTGACCGATGACAAGCTCTTCCAATAGTGGGGAAGGGAGGGGGGAATTGAATATAGATCTCTTGTGTCCAATTTTCTCAGAGAGCTGATTAACTTGAAAGTCATATCTTGTCTTCTCTGTAATTTTCCTCGCTGTGTTGGGCGGGCAGGCTGGCAATGAAGTAGCCTCAGGTCTGATGTCCCACTGGCTAAACACGGACAAAATCCAGACTCCCTGTGTCTCTCAGGACACTTGTTCCTAAAACGAGGTTAAGAGCAGCTACCTGGCCTCACCAGTGTTCTATTTTCAGCCTACCTAATAAATATCAAATCAAATCAAGACTTTGCCTGCAAAATGCTTTTACCTCCTACGGGACAAAACCATCCGAAGGATGTGAGTGTGCCCACCGCTTTAATTTTTAAATCACAAAAAACTTGTTTGTTGGTTTGTTTTTATTACACAACAGCAGATGGTCTCCGTAAAGAAGCTGAAACTGCGGATATGTACAAAGATTTGGTTAAGCAGCAGACTTCAGTTCGGGTCATCATCTCCTGATTCGTGAGTTCGAGCCCCTCGTTGGGCTCTGTGCTGACAGCTCCGAGCCTGGAGCCTGCTTCGGATTCTGTGTCTCCCTCGCTCTCTCCGTCCCTCCCCCGTTCACCCCTGTCTGTGTGTCTCTCTCTCAAAATAAACAAACAAACAAACATTAAAAAAAAAAAACAAAAAACACATGTCAACTCACTAAGCACCTATCTCTGCCAGGCTCCACCCTAAATGCTAGAGAAGCAGAGATGAGCCAGACTCTTCTCTGCCCTCAAGGAGCTCGCAGTCTAGTGGAGATGTCAGAAACGTATGTAAATTGCTGAAAAATGTGTTTGACACTGAAAGGAGCTACATACCGTGATGCTGTGAACATGCAGAAAATGGCCTTGGGAAAATCCATGAAGGCTTCAAATAAGGCAGGACACTTGAAGAGTGGGCATTGAAGTATGAATAGGAGCTTGGCCCTAGAGGCGAGTGAGATCGTCTTTCCAGGTAGAATATGAAAGGCACAGAGGTGCAGCCCCATGTACGATCCGTGGGAGGAAGCAGTGGAAGGGGAGGGTGGAAAGGCAGGTTAAAAATGAATCGTGCAGAGCCTTGAATGCCAGGGTAAGATGTTTGGACCCATCTTGAAGAATAGCCAGGGTGAAATAAAACGGGAAGGTACAGTGTCTGGAACAGCATGGTGTTTATAAGGGAGAAGGAGAGGCTGAATCAGAAAAACCAGTGACGCGTCTGAGGGAGACACGGTGAAAACGGGACTAGATGGTGGGAGTGGAGATTGAGAAGGGATGATGGGTCCAAAATTCTCCAGGTTATCCTGCTAGGACTTGGGGACTGGATGGGAACACGGTAATGGGGGAAGAAATATGGGAGGTTCTCTCTGCACCAGTCGGTTTCCCAGCTCCCGAGACACCAACTGGATATCCTAGAATTTTTTTATTAGAGAAGTTTTTATTTATTTATTTATTTTTAAATTTTTTTTTTAATGTTTATTTATTTTTGAGACAGAGAGAGACAGAGCATGAACAGGGGAGGGCCAGAGAGAGAGGGAGACACAGAATCCGAGGCAGGCTCCGGGCTCTGTGCTGACAGCCCAGAGCCCAACGCGGGGCTCGAACTCACGGACCGCGAGATCGTGACCTGAGCCGAAGTCGGCTGCCCAACCGACTGAGCCACCCAGGCGCCCAGAGAAGATTTTATTTTTAAGTGTACTTACTTATTTTGACTGGGGGGGGGGGGGGATATGAGTGGGGGAGGGGCAGAGCGGGAGAGAGAGAGAGGGGGGGGGAGGGAGAGAGACGGAGAATCCCAAGCGGGCTCTGGGCTATCAGCTCGGAGCCTGACTTGGGGCTCAACCTCGTGAACTGTGAAATTATGACCTGAGCCGAAATCAAGAGTCAGATGCTTAACGGACTGAACCACCCCAGGCACCCTGGACATTCTAGAATTTAATTCAGTTCTGACACTACCTACCTGCCGTCAGCATCGGACTCCACGGGTTAAGGGCTCACGCCCACAAGACTGCCAGTCACTAGCTCTGGGTCCTCGGGGTACCCGCACTGCTGTCCGACTTGGCTACAAAGTTGGGGGCTCTTACACCCCTCCTCCTCAGGATCAAGAATTTGCTGGAAAGGCTCAAAAACCTCAGGGAATCGTTTACTTAAACCCTTACCGATTTATGGGAAAGGACATCATAAAGGGTATAGCTGAATGGCCAGAAGAAGAGGTGCACAGGGCAGGGTCCAGGAGGGTCCTGAGCCGGGAAGCAGGTGTTCCCGTGCAGCTGGGAACTCTGGGAATGTGCCAGCCTGCCGGCACGGGGATGGGTTTACTAACCCGGCAGCTCTCGGGGCGCCAGAGTTTGGGGAATTTTGTGGAGGCTTCATTACATGAGCACAGTTGATTATTAACTCGATCTCTTGGGAGGATGATGGCTTGGGGCTGAAATTCCAAATTTCTAATCGCGGCCGGATCCTTCTGGTGACCAGCCCCTATCCCAGAGCTTTCCGGGAGCACACCAAGAGTCACCGCATTAGCACAAAAGCTGTCACCACCCAGGAAATTCCAAGGGATTTGGGCGCTCTGTGTAAGGTGTTCCCACTACCCCCGTGACTCGGGAAATGATAGGAGTTTCAGGACCTCCGTGCCAGGAACTGGGGGCAGAGACCAAACATACATATTTCTTACTGTGTCACATGCTTCTGCCATTCCCAGCGGCCCTGTGCCCTGGGACTGCATGCTGTACCCTTGGGTGATGGCCGTGGCCCCCCTAAGCAGAGTGTGGCCCCCCTAAGCAGAGTGGGTGTTCATTCTCTGTAGCCATATCTACAGGTGCACCTCTCCCCCCATTGTCTTCCATGACTGGATGTTTCAATAACCCGAATTTGGCAAGATCCCATCAGGAAATATCTCTTATTTTTTCTTCCACTCAAACTTCAGGCAGCCCTCTGAGCTGTTCCGTTTCTTTCCCCACTCATTCTGGGTAGTGGTCTCATTTTCAGGTGTTCGAGAACTCCACACCGCTGTGATCAGACTTCAACCTTTCATCCAGTCCACGGCCGCTCTCTCTACCTCTCAGGCCTGCTCCGGAGCCCCTTCTCCCAGTACCGGTGTCTTAGGAGCCCTCTGGGGCTACTTGGGGGAGAAAAGGGGCAATAGGAATGGGGTGAAGTTCTGTTCGGTTAACTGGTACTTGCTGGAGTTCTCGTGGTGGCCAATGTCCTCTGCCATGGCTTGATTCCCTGCCCCCCTCCCATACACACACACACACACACACACACACACACACAGAGTCATTGCTGGGCTCTTTCAAGGTGTCTATAGTCTTTTGCCCCAGAGATTCACAAGCAGTCTTTCTGCCGGGGGGCCCCTCCACTGGCATTCAGCTCTCCTGGTGAGAGTCTTTTCAAGATGGCTCTCCGCTGGCTATCTGAAGTTTCCTCCTGGCCCATGGGAACTCATAATCCTTTGCCTCAGCAGACGGTGCACTACTCCCTCCCAGCTTCCTCTCTGAGAGGAGAATCCTGCAGCCTCCTGACTTGAGACTCATCCAGGTGAGGGCCGGGGGCTGCCATTTTCAGGGTATACAGGTCAATTTCACTTGAGCACCTTCTTATGCAGCCATCTGGTCCTGGGATATTCGGCAATTGAGCAAAAGTCTGGCTGGAGATGAGGTGTTTTTTTATTTCTTAAAAAAATTTTTTTGGGGGGCGCCTGGGTGGCGCAGTCGGTTAAGCGTCCGACTTCAGCCAGGTCACGATCTCGCGGTCCGGGAGTTCGAG